AAGACAGCAAGAAATATTACGTTTTTTGTTATGCTCTATTAAGACACTATGAAATCTTTAATGAATAAAAGATTTTATATTACAAAAAGCTCACGGGCTGGAAAATAGGGAATTTATGCTTAAGTAAGTTTAAAGGTATGCATTAACCAATAGAGCGGAAGGTTTGCACTTATAATCAGTCTCCTGCCTATTTTATATTTCTGCTACTTGCTACACATTTTTATATTTTTGTTTCAATTAATCTTGTTTTTTGTCTAACGCATTGCCTGCTTTACACAAAAAGGTTGTTTCTCGTGTATAGAGCGCTTAGGCAATTTAACGAACTCTAACATGACAACATATAACGGACAGCAAGAAGTTCCTAGATCCAGTTTACTGTTAATTTTTCTTGCAATTTATATTCGGCAGCCCTTCATAAATTTCAATTGGCCCTTTGCTATTTTTAAATTTTATCTCATGCTCCTTTTACTACTGTCAAAGTATTATGTAATTTTCTCCAAATTAATATTTCCTGATTCATCCTCAACTTATATCTGACGATGAAAAGCTGTTTTTTGTTTGTGTCTCATTAACGCTTATAATTGTTGCCATTTGTAATTTTAGGACAAAAGATATAGATTTCACTTGGATAAGCATTCACGCAACAGCCCATGAAATGTCGGATCCAATTTCATATATTGGATCTTCTTTATCTGAATCATTAAAAAAAAAAGAAAACGAAACTGAAGAAAAAGCCACTACCGCTACATGTATACATACATTTGCTTCTGCAAATTCAAAAGCTCCGAGGACTTTCGATAAAATAGTCGATCCAAAAAGATTGTGGTACGAAAGCGATCTTAGTTCTTCGGAAGAGAGTGAAAATTCTTCGACAAAGCCGCCATTGTCTAAAAAGAAGCGTATTAGCCTGATTTCTTCAACATGTATTCTTGATAAGCTCGATTGCAATTTGTCAAAGAAAAATGGTGGTTCTACAAATAGTCAACCTTCAGCCAAACCTAAAGAAGGACACAAACAAAGCATTCTTTCCAACCGAACTTGTCACAACACTTATGATTCTTCACAAGACAGTGATGGTACTACTACTTCAGAGACTGGCGAAGTTAGTCTTTCCTCTTCTGAAAGTGATAGCGACGACTCTTTTAATGATGATACTGAGGACGAAGATGATAATGCTGCTGAAGACGAAGATTGGAATGTCAGCAAAGAAGACAAAAGAGTATTCCATTTATTGATTTGTTTTTTCTTATTAGCATTTACTTAATGCAACATTTTTCATCATATGTTACGATTGATTTGCAAATAACTTAAGATATTTTACTAGGTTCTTAGTCATAAAAGGCCTTAATTAAAAAGCTGAACTTGTAGAATCGCTTAATATGTTTAAT